CGGAGCGGGCGCTGCGGCTGCCGGTGCGGGCGGGCTCGTGCACCGGCGCTTCGGGCTCCTCCGGCTGCAGCGGGGGGAGAGGCGAGGAAGAAGGGGGCGATCCCGGTCCCCCGGTGTCCCCAGCCAGATAGTCACTGCTTCGCCGGGAGGGAAGACAGGTAGTGGCAGCCAAGGGGAATGACGCACCCAAAGGAAAAGCCTTCCCGAAGAAGGAGGCAGGGTGGGGATGGAGTTAAAGGGGGGTCCGTTTGCTTGTTTGTCCCCGGGGAGGAAAGCGATAGGAGCACCGGGACAGACCCGATGAGCTGGCCAGAGGCCTGGAGAGAATAGCAGGAGGCTCGGGAGGGCGGGAAAGCGTCGTGTCATACACTTCCAGAGGTCTTGAAGGAGGCAGGACACAGAAGCGTCGTCTCCGTAGGAGCGAGCTCCACTTCCAGGGTGACTCCCACTCCCTCTCCCCGGTACGAGAGCGAATTTCCATCTTCCCGGAGAGTGCTTGCATAGGGGCTGGTTGTAAACAGTCACGTACAGAAAGATAGACGCTCCTCATCGCCGCACACACGCGGGGCTGGGGACAAGGGGACGGGCGGAAACCACCGGTGTGCGTTTGTCTGCATACTTTTACATCTGAAAGGTTCCTAGAGAGAGAGAGGTGGGTCGATTCGGGGTTCAGTTTAGAAACGAGATCGTTTTCTGGGAGTAAAATGCCAGGAGAGTTACACGCAGAGTAATCGCGGTACCGTTTCAGTCTCACCTCCAGAAATTTGAACATGAATCGGTGGCACCGAATAAACTTGATAAACCCAAGCAGAGATTTCCCAGCGAGCTCCCTTTTGTAATGGCTGTGTAATTCTCCCAAGCTATTAAAACGCCTGGGTTGTTCTCTCTACCCCTGATTTCACTTTACTAGGTCTCCAGCAGATTAAAACTGTCGGGGGCGAAAAGTGTTCAGTGGCTTATGTAGCTTCCATCGTTTCGGTGCTTAAATTTTTCTGTCTCAGGAAGAGAAAGCCTACAAGACATACAGTAGTTTTCGGTGATCAGACAGCTTTCGGAAGGGCTGAAGACCTGCTAAATCGCTGAGGACAGTAAGGAAGATTTTCTAATAGCAGAATTTCCTAATAAATTCATTTATGAATTAATGTTAATTTAAGGAAAAAAAAAAAAAAAAGTCCTAAAATTGAAATTTAGCATTAAACAGTTAATGGCAACTAACGTAGCCTCAAAAAATATCTGGAAAAATCTCCCGGATGTCGGAGGGCTAAAAGAGTTTTCCTTCAAAAAAGATCCGGCCGCTCTAAGTAGTGGGGTAATTCTTCACTGACCCTTGCCAATATCCAAAAGTGAAGGAAGAAAAAAACCAAAACACAAACAAACAAAAAGTAGCGCAATAAATAGATTTTTGGTTGGTTGGTTTTGTTTGGTTTTTTTACTTTTCAGTTAGGAATATTTTAAGGGTCCTATTCTCCTTATGCGAACACAGAGGGAAAAGGTGGGTTCGTATTCTCTGTCCTAGTGAGGATGGATCATCTCTGCGCGGAGAGGCGTTTGATTTTCGAGACAAAAGCAGAGGCTCCGTTTACATAAACTTTCGCCGAATGAGGATGGTTAACATTTCAATATCGAAACCCTTAACCTTGTTTTATTTTAAAGGGGGAAGAGATCAGCAGAAAAAAAAAAAAAATCCGTTTCCCACGTGGATAGGTGATTTAATGCTGTTTTCTTACTGCTAAGCGAAATGATTGAGCATTAGGTTTCAGTGTTTATTTTCTTACAGCAGTTTTTCTCATTTAAGCTGCAGTTTACTCTCCACGCTGCTTCTCTTTTTAATTCCAGTTTTGATGTGAACTTAAAACGTGAAGTGCAGAACTAAACTATTAGCATGATG